GGCTGAAAGGAGGGAGAGGAAATATACAGAAGATGTAGCTTCATCTGGGCACCCTGCTCAGCTGGGAAGGATGTGGGGCTGATCCAAACCCAGTTAGTCTTGAACCAGCTGTCGGGTGGTGGAGACGCTTGGGATTAGTCACACAGTGCGTTTGAAGAACTAGGTCTTGATTGCTCAGACCTGATGCCCTGACATCACCGTAGAGGTCTGGTCACCTGAGAGCGGTTAGTGGAGGGCCGGGCTCCGTTTGGGCAGTCTGACTTCTGGGTCTTTACTGGGTACCTATAGTGCTCTTCTGCCCAAGAAATTTCATATAGGTAGAACAGATGATTTCCTGCTCAACAAATGTTTGGGGATATCTGTCATTTTTCAGAACTTTTTTTTAATTGCTAGAAGCAGGTGCGCACGCCAAAGAGAACACGCATCTCCCTACCCAGGGTGCACAGTCATGCCACAGTTCTTTCTCCTCCATGTCTCCTTCCCAGCAGGATGTCCGGCATGTACACTCACTGTTTTTCAAGCCACCGGGGCTGGGACGATTTAAACAGCCATGTGGGGTCCAGCGCCCAGTGCGCAGTGTTTAACCACCCCACTGCAAGGCCGCCTGCAAAGTCTCTGAAATGCCCTTGGGGCCCTGCCTCATGGATAGCACCCGGCTCCCTTACAGCCATGCCCATTGTCTTGATGACCAGCATCTGGCTCCTTTTTATCAGGCTGGTCTCAGCAAGCGGTCACCTGGCCACACAGTCCTAAACATGCCTTTTTGCTCTTTATGCGGCCAGGCTAATTTTCTGTTTTTCAACTCAGCTTCCTTTCTATTTAGTCATTCTGTCCTTAAGTCATGTCTTTGTTCTCTCATTTTATTTAAACTTTTCAAAGTAACCATGCAGCACATCCTCTGTTTTACTTAGTAATTTCTTTCCCAAATAATCATTTTAAAATTTGGCATGGCAGAAAAGCCTTAGAGTGTGGACATAACACAGCGAAGCATTTTGCAACAGCGAGTCAAGGACAGCCCTTCTGTTCCCAGGAGATATTTATCACTTTCGTCTGAGACCTCCTCGGGATGGCCTTTACTCTGCGAAGCTCTGTCGGCATTCTAGTCAGGGCTTCCCTGATCTCACCTGAGTGCTCCCCAGAATCCAGGCTGTTTCACTCTAGACTCCTCAGCCCGGGCCATTGCCGGTTCTTGGGTCACTTGTCACGAGCAGACAGCCGCGTTTGGTGCCAGTTTTCTGTTCTCCTTTGTTCCCCGGTGGTTGCAGTGGCGAGCACAGACTCACTCGGCCCAGTGGTGGAGGTTCCACGTGGGGCGGGACGTCTGCCGTCCTGAGGCGTGCAGGGCATCACGGGTGAGTCGCAGTGAGTGCGCGTCCTGCGGTATCTGTGTCGCTCCTGTGGCTTTCATCCTGATCACCTCCCACAGGTGCCACCTCTTCCTCCCAGGGCAGAGGACATTTCTGCCGCCTTACAGTGGCTCACCAGAGCAGCACGAGTTCAGGGGGACACATTTAAACCAGGGCAGCGTGGTGACAGGCCCCCATGGTGTCTGGCCCTTGCCATCCTGGCCTCAGCCTGGCTCTACCTGAACTGAACCCTCTCCATCCCAAGTTCTCGCTCAAGGACACTAGGCGCCCACGCAGGACTTCCATAACCCCTCCCTTCTGCCTGCCCGCCCTTCAGGTCGCGGTTCCGTGCCATCTCAGAACTTCCTGACCCTCCAGCCTGAAACTAGCCCCGGACTGTCTTCTTTCAGAGAACAGAGTACGATCCAAGTGAACCTTGTTTATATTTAGTTTACAGTTTTTTAAGATTCTTATCACGGTGTGTGTGCTCACCTGAGAGACGGGGAGGGAGAAATCACTCTGTGGGGGGATGGCCACACTGCAGCCCCTTCTCCACTCTTCTCTTGGGATTTTGGGCACTGATGCACACATGCCCGGTGTGATTTTCAAGCCACCAAGTCCAAGACTTGAACCACAGACAGCCATGTGGGAGGCCAGCACCTTAACCGCTAGGCCACCTGCTGGACCCTCGTGTACTTCCTTATGGTCTGTCAGATTCCACTAGATTGTGGGTTCTGTACAAGCCACAGTAGTCTCGTTCCCTCTCCCCGTGAGTAGAGCCTCGTGAACGTCTGCAGTGGATATGACATGCAGGGAGGAGCCCTTGCCCCAAAGCAGAAAGGTTCAGAGCACGGCCCGTCCATGTCTGGGCCCTCGCCGCCTACCCTCTGCCCTCTGTCTTCCCTCTCAATCACCTGTTCTGGGGCATACAGATGCATTTGTACAACACACACCCCTGACCTAGCCACACACACCACACGTCCTGACCTTTCTCCTTTGGATGACTCCTGTTTTTACTATACAACTGAGTTCAAGTCTGACTTCCCTCAGGGAGCCTCCCTTGAGCCCTCCGCCTCCGTCTGATTTAGAGGTCTCTGTTCCAACACTCATTTTGCATCCTGTGCACAGCCTCAGCATGGTGGGTGCGTATGAAGCCAGCAGCTTGGCAGCCAGGCCCAGGTGTGGGGAAAGCAGACTGTGAGATCTGACTGCCAGAGTTTGAATTCTGACTCCTCTGACTTCTGCAAGGTCGCGGCCCAGGCTCAGCTGTCACAGGGCTGGGGGAGAGAAGTAGCAGCCACACGACTAGTAGGAAAAGGCAGTGACTTCCAGCATGGGCTGTTGGCAGTGGCCCCGGGCAGAGACCGCAGCACGGCGTTCAGCAGCTGTAGCTCCACTAGGAACTCAGAAGAGACCTGTTCCTTCATGACCAAGCCGCTCCGGACCTCAGCAGGGCTCTGCAGGGCCCACGGTCCTGCATTGAAGGAGGATAGTCCTAAAGCGGGTGTAGGACCAACAAGTGGCATCGTGGCTAAGGCACTGGATTCCCACATGGCGGACCATGGTTCAAGTCCTGGACCTGGCAGCTTGAGAATCATGCCAGGTGCATGTGCGTGCCCAAAACCCTGAGCGGAGAATGTAGAAGGGATCGTAGTGCGGCCATCCCCTTGGAGGAGGGGGAGGAGTGTGCTTTCTCGCTCTCCCTCTCTGGCAAGCACACTGCCATGTGGCAAAACCTTTAAAAAAATGGTATTGCGCCAACTCTAATATCCACGGGGAAGATACATGTACACAGATTCCATTCTGAAGCCCTTTGTTAGCAAGAAACGAGTGCAACTCACTCCTGATTCAATCAAAAGCCAGTGATACCAAGGAATCTCTGTCCACTCTCCTCTTAAAAATTCTCTTTAAAAAATGTACATCCATTCGTTAGCCTTTTTTGTTTTACCACGAGATTTTTACAGTCTTTAGGGTTTTTTTTCTTTAAAGGTAAAAACAATTTTGCAAACACTTTAGAAGTAGTCTGAGAGTGGAATACTAGAGTTTTGCCAAGCATTCACCACTGCCCTGAGTACGGATGATGCCTCTGTACCTAGCTGACAGTACCTTTAGCACCTGCCTCTGCTGAGTCTGTCTAAAGCATGCCATTGGATTTCCAAAGACTGGCTTCCTGCTGCGCGTGTTCATAAGTACTGGTTTATTGTGCTGATCTCGCAGGGACCGCGGGAGCTGGAACCCAGTTTGCTAACAGGCTTGATAAAGAACGGCAGGGGCAGGAGTGGGTGGGAGCGGGGGACGGGCCAAGCTCTCGCCTCAGGCCGGCTGTGGGCGCCTGCTATGTGTTATAGTCAAGGCCACGTTTTATACGAAGAAGAAAGCAGTATTGCTAATTAATACTGAGATGGAAACGGTATTTGCAGATTCGGGTCCTGCCAGCAGGTGGCAGGCATGGCCCACGAATTCAGGAGCGGCGGGTCCCCTGCGCACTCCGCTGCCTAGCTTCGGCCGGTGCACCTGGGAAGACAATGGACGGCCTCTCAGGACCCTCCTGGTCTTCGCTGCTTGGCCAGCCTCCTGGCATTCCCTCGGTGTCAAAGTAGGCAGAGTTCCAGGACTGCGGTGAGGGAATTCAGTAGGTCAGAGGAATACACAGGAGTGCCACCTCACTTCTGCAAGCTTCTGGGCTCTGAGCAGCGAGAAAGTGCCTCAAACTCCCTCCTTTCTCCTTGAATGGAGGGGAGGGAAGATTTCACCTTCATGGGGCAGCTCCAGGACCCCTCTGTTCGCCTGCCATGGTGGTGGGCCCGAGACAGGAGGCCTCGCTCCCCACCAGCCCCTCAGCGCTCACCAGTACCGACGGCCCATGCTACTGAGGACCCCTGCAGGGCTGGCCACCCAGCCTGCACAGCCCTGGGGAGTCCGCATGTCCTGAGAGCGCGAAGACCCTGGTGTGGGAAGCACTGGCTCATTTTTACGGCAGTGTCACCTAGGCAGATGGGTGGGTGGCCTGAATGTCTCTCCACAGACAGTGGTCAGTAACTGTGCAGCCTGGCGGCCACACATCCAATAAACCTTGCAGGTGGCAGTGACCGCTCAGGCCCGTCTCGTCTGCCCCCTAAGCACAGCCTGAGGAGCTATGGCAGGAGCCTGCTAGACCTGGGAACAGGCTTTATGAGGAGTTTACCCTAATGGAGTCTCGAACTCTGTGGGTGAACAGACAAGGTGAAGAGGCTGGAAGGGAAGAAGGCCTGCAGGGCGGTGGTGCTCGCTCCACGGGTACCCCGCACGGCCACAGGGTGTGCAGTGCCCTGCCCAGCTGGTGGCTCTGAGCACAGGCTCTGGCTCTCGGCTACACCGGAGAACGGGCTATGGCAAAGGTCGGAGGACCCTCTCCCTCGTGGGGCAGAGGCAGCTACAAGGCCCAGAGGACTAGATCGGGAGCCGAGAGGCATCTGACCTTGAGCAGAGAGCTGTGCATCTGGGTACCCCCAGCCCTGTGAAAAGAACTCTGGGTGCTGCTCGGGGGCCCTCGGAACTGCGCCCCTCCCGAGGGCCGGCCTGGGAGCTCCCAACCCTGTGGGAAGTGGCACAGGCCACGTGGCAAAGCCCAGCCTGTGGCCATGGTGAACAAGCCAGGACAGAGGCGCTGTGCTTTCAGAGCAAGTTTAATAACAAAGCAACTTCCTGCTGGCCACAGGGTTTCGTGCCATCTGGTTTGGTAGCTGCGGGGACCTCTCCTAGGGGTGGGCTCAACGCCGACGCCCACAGGCCCTACACCATAGGCGCATCTGGCTCCTTTCTGCGTTGTGTGGGGTCCCAGCAGTCCTCCGGGACGTCAGCATTCCCCTCCAGCTGGCTCCGGAGTGGCAGCCCCCGCCCGTGGCCTGGCCCCAGCTACAGGCTTCTGGCATGGCCAGCTCTGCTGAAGGGAGAGGGGCAGCCCAGGCACAGCGGGGGCTTCTGCTGCCCTACTCTGGCGCTGTGGCACCTTTCGTCCCAACAGTCAAGCTTCCCAGGGTGGCAAAGAACTCCTCCATCTCCTTCTGCAGTAGCTGGTTCCTCCTCTCAGCGTCCTCCCGCGCCCGCTCCGAGTTCCGCAGCCTGATCTCCAGCATGGTGTACTTCTTCTTCTCCTGCTGCAGCTCTTCTTCCAGCCGGGCCATTTGTGTTCTCAGGTCAGCACTGCCTTGCTCGATGCTGAAAAGTTAAGGGGAGACACCACTTTAGGTTCACTTGCTGGCCCACCAAGCCAGCCCTGTGGTGGGCGGGTGCAGCCCTGAGGGCTCCCGGTGAGGAGGCAGGAGGAAGACTTTACCCAGCCCTCATGGGCCCTGGTGCTCCACCGTGGGTAGACTGCCCCGCAGCTCCCCTCGGTCAGAACGCCCTCACCAACATAGGAAGACACTTGGCGCTCCGCCCGTCCTTCTGAGTAGTCAGCCACCAGCTGAGAGCCACACAGGCCCCACACAGAGACCAAGCCTCCACCTGTCCGCTGGCCTTTGCTCCTGGGCTCTGGCCTCCCCTCCTGCTCTCCCCATGGCACCCCAAGCTCCAGCCAGACACAGCAACTCCCAGTGCGTACTCCCCTGTGTGTGCTCACGTCTGTCCCGCTCCTCTCACCTCCAGCTCAGATGTGCCCCTCAGCCCCCTGCAGGTCACGGCAGGGCTCTCCCATGCCACCGTGGAATCTGCACAGCGTCCCTCGCTGCACGACGCAAAGGTCCTGAGGGGCACCTGAGCCCAGCCCCTGGGTTTAGGGCCTGGCCTGGGCATGTACGAGCCACGTGGCTGTGGGTAGGCCGCAGACTGCGCCCAGCTGCTGCAAGTCCCCCAGATGCAGAGGGTGACCCTCCCGGGGCTCCGTGCTGCAGTCAGTCACATGCACAGCACTAGCCAACACACGCACACGCGCGCTGGTGGGGTGCAGCAAGGGCATGCTGCCGCAAGGGGGCCCCTCCTCACCCTCCTGTTGCTCCTTTCCCTGTGCCAGGCCTTGAGGGACCTCGTCCGGTCTCCAGACTGAGCGCCATCTGCACGTTCCCCACCTCGTCACAGGCATCTCTGCTCCCTGGGGCTCTTCCCAAGCCACCCCCGCAACCTGGTGTCCCCAGTGAAGGCCTTTCGCCAGCCTCTAGGACAGACCACCGCCCTCCCCACATCCAGTCCCTTAGCAAAACCCACTGGTCTGCCTTCCAAGAACGCTCAGGGTCACCACCTCGACTGCGGCCTGGACCCTGCGGCCTCCTAACGGGTGCCTGGTGGTTTTGTCTTCAGTGACAGAGATCGGGTGCACACACGTGCCAGAGAACGACAGAGGGCCCCACCCTCGGCAGGGTCTCATCTCACGGGGATCCCCTCCCCAGCCCTCCAGTTCCTATGGCTCCTGGGGCCTTTGTGTGCCCAGGATTTCGGGCCAGTGGGATCCGGACCTGCAGTGGCTTCCATGTGGCTTCCCGCCCAGCAGGCTCTGCATCTTACTGCTGTGCCACAGCGCCGGGCTGGGGTGGTGTCCTTGGGCCCCCACCCCCACAGACTGCCCTCTGCAGTGCCCGGGGGCATGGTCTAAGTGGCCTAGGTGCTCAGGACCCTCCATCACTGTCTTGTCTGGTCTTATGCAAGTGAAAAGCAGGCTAAAAGCACCCACACCTGCCCCTGCCTTCAGAGCCCCTGTGACAGCTCCGCCCACCCGGGCTTCCTGCCTCTGGGCATGGGGCCTCCCTCCACCCCCACCTACCTCCCCCACACCAGTGTTTTGGTGTCCTAGCTGGAGAGAGGGAGACAGGGCCAGGACGAGGGAAAGTGAGACATCGCCTCCAGGTCTGCCGTTCCTGCACCGGTTTTCCACGCATGTTAGGCCCTGACCCCACCCCACCAGCCGGGAAGGAGACTGCAGCCGGTCTGCTCACAGCCGGGCCCGCGTCCCACACAGCGCCTGGTGCTTCGGTAGGAAGGGCTGCCCTTGGGGAGTGCCCAAAGGAAGGCAGACTCCCCGTCACGGCACCCGGAGGGGTCCTGAGCCTGGGTGGCTGTGCAGAGCGCCATCCCCACCCTGGCTGTGCAGACAGCAGGCCTCCGGGCAGGCTGCCTCTCCTTACCCCTTCCCTCCGGTGCCCAGGGCCCTCTGCACTGTGGACAGCAGGTGGACGGCTCTGCTAGGGCCCCACAGGACGGCTGCCGCGCCCTTCTCAGCCACCTCACCGTCCCTGCCCACCGGCCCAGTCCCCGTGAGCAGGCAGGGCTCTGGCATGCTGAGGCACGGGCTGTGCTGAGTACCCACACCAGATCCACAGGGCACACACGCCTGGCAGTCGGCGGGCAGGACTCGAACCCAGGCAGCCTGGCTCAGCACCCACCACCAAACAATGCTGCGTTGAAACCCAGGCTCTGAGAGGGTGGAAGCCGGAGCCCGGAAGGCGCCACACGTGGGTGGCAAGTATAGGCTGCCCTGAGCCCCGGGCCTGCTGCGGCCGGTCATTACCGTCCCCACGTACCCTAGGGTTTTCGTCTCCGAGCTCATCTGCAGCAGTACCACTTCCTGCGTGTTTCTGGGGGCTGCCTCCACGGTTGCCTCCGCCTGGCAAATCCCGGCCCGGGTTTACGTGTGCACCCCACCCCCACCCCTCGGGCCTCATTCGCACCCTCTGCTTCCTCCGCTCAGTTCTACCCTTGGCCCTCTAGCCCCGACTTAGGCACTGCCTGCGTGACCTGCCCACAGCGGGCGCTCAGCCCTGAGTCCCTCTCCCCCTCTTCCCACCAGAGACAGTGTCCGCACCACCTGGCACGCCCGGCAGGGGCCCAGAAGGCTGCCAGCAGGGCCACGGGGTAAGAGCTGCCCTTTCAGCTCCTGTGGCCCAGAACGGGCAGCAGGAAGACCTTCCACCTCCATACCTCTGACGGAAAAGGGGTCCCTGGGGCCAGCAGATGGCATAGCAGTTACGTTGTCGTTGGACTCCCGCATGGCCGACCACAGTTTGAGTCCCAGACCCAGCGGCTTGAAACTCATGCTGGGCGTGTGTGTGTGCGTGCCCAAGATCCCAGGAAGAAAATGGAGAAGGAGCTGCGGATGGCCATCCCCTGGGGGGTGATTTCTCACTTTTCCTTCCACTCTGTCTCTGTCTCTCTAGCGAACATATACACCTTAAGACAGAAGAAATCTCCACAAAAAAAGGAGGGACACCCATGCAAAGTCCTGCTCCTCTGTGGAGCCTGGGCTCCCCGTCAGGCAGCTGCCGGGGGTCGGGGAGGGGCCTGGGATGCCAAGGGAAGCCCTGGACACTGTCCAGTGCGGTCTGTTGCTGACCACAGTTGGAGAGCTTGGCCTCCCAGGGCCTGACACCCCCTCACTGTAAGGTAAGGCACCTCCTCCCAAGGAGGCTGTGAGGACGGAGCGAGGGCCCACCGAGACAGCAGTGAGCTCACGAGCCTCAGGGTGCTGGGACAAAAGGTCCGGCTCAGCAGGGAAACTGGAGCCCATTCTGGAAAGAGTCCTCTAGGCGGGCCTGTGGCTTCCCTTACGCACGGGCACTTGCCCCGAGCCCCACGCCTGGACTACAGGACCCTGACAGCAAGCCCTGGAGCCATATGCAGGCCTTGCCCTGAGCCCTCCAGCAATGGCCCTGCGGCCCTTTTATGGAGGCATTTATGGAGAACGACCACAGGCCGGCTCCGACTCCGACGTTTAGGTACCAGGATCCCACCGGGCCCGGGGGGCCTGGGGACACGCTCCCTGAACAGCAGCTCCTGGGGCTGCCTGCCCCCTGCAGCTTCCCTGCCCAGCCACTGGTGGGAGAGCGGCCCTGAACACACCTGCTGGGGCACCTGTGCCCTTTACCTTTTCACGCTCGCCTCATACTCAGTCCGCTGCCGGCACAGCTGCGCCCTGAGCTCTGCCACCAGGCCCTGCAGGGCTTGCACGCGGCGGGCATGGTCCTGGCCAGGGCTGCCCGGGTCACTGGGCTCGCTGCTGCTGACACCTGCGCCCACCTCCTCCAGGCTGTGGCCCAGGTCCGGGGACCTGTGGTCCTCACTGCTGCTGGGGAGTGGGGAGGGCTCGAGGGCCCACTCGGTGTGCAGGGAGCTGCAGGGGGACGAGTCACTGGCCCGGCAGGCCGTGCAGCTGCTGAGCGAGCCCCCTGCAGAGGCCTCGCAGGAGGACGAGGCCGCGGACCACGCTGGGCTGGCCGCGCTGGGCGTGCTGGGCGGGGGGCCAGGCGGGGGCACGTTGTCACAGGTGGACAGCCTCTGGGCAGAGCCCGAGTCCTTGAGCCGGTCTCCCGACGAGGCCCGGCGGTGGCCGCGCAGGGACGACAGCCCGTTCATGAGCCAGTTCCCGCCAGAGATGATGGGCACCTCCAGGGACGAGCTGCCCCCCTTTGGGCTCCCGGACCGGGCCCCTGGCTGCCGGAAGGAGGACTTCCAGCTGGGCAGAGTCTGCACCCTCTTCCCCGAGCTGGGGCCCAGGGCTGGGGCGGGAGTTCTAGAGAGCACCGCCACGGCAGCCCCATCCAGAGACGAGGTCCTGTGCGCTGGCAAGCCAGGGCCGCCGTGCTCTTCCTGGCTGTCCCTCGTCGCCTCCTCGGAGCCCCACCCCACAGTGCACGGTGGGCCCCGATGGGGAGAGGCAGGTCCTTCCAGGGCTGTGGTGGCAAAGAGCTGGGCATGTTTGCGGATCAGGACGGTCATCAGATGCTGGACCAGGGAAGTGCCTATGGGAGGGAGGAAAAGCCTTGAAGGGGGAGACCAGCCCGACCTCCTTAACCCACTTGTGGGTAGCCAGGGGGCCGTCCCAGGGCGCTGCCCCTCCAGGCACAAACTGAGGGCGGGTGCCCGCCTCGGACACAGCCAGACTGGGGGAGGACTGTGCCCCATCCTGCCTGGGGGTGGGACGGGAACAGGCGTGGGGCCGGTTGCGGCCCGTCGCGGCCTAGAGATGACTCTCCAGTTGCCTCTTCCCTCCCGTTGCCCTGAACCAGACAGAGCCCGAGGCTGGGAGGGTGCCAGGCATAGGACACTGGGTGCCTGGTGGCCCCCCTGAGGGTAGCCAGGACCCAGGAAAATGAAGGCGTTCTTAGGTCAAGGCGAGCTGAAGCGCAGTGAAGCAGGTGAGGCAAGCACTTGCTATGGGCGGGTGAGCACCACAGGCGGGAGCCGGGCCTTCCTGGCCTCCCGGGCCCTGGGCAAGAGACCCGGGCAGGCCTCCAGGAGGGACCTGAGGAGCAGGGAGCCCCTGTGTGAGGGGACCAGGCCTGCACGCCTGCCCACACCCCTCGCACCTGCCCACAACCAATCACCCGCAGCAAGAAAGGCAGGTGGGCTCAGCTAGCCCGAGCCACGGCTCAGCTCCGCTGCGGGGCCTGTGTGCACGCGGCACCGTCCACGCCACTCCGCCATGGCGGCCTCGGGGTAGCCTGTGAGCATGAATGCCTATCTCCAGGAGGGCTGGCTCTGCTCGCTGGCCTCTGGTGCGCCCCTCACCACTCTGGCCTTCATCCGTGAGGTGGAGCAATTACCACAGCTCGGTCTGGTGATGGGCGACATTAGTGCCAGCTGCTTCTGGGGGGTTTGGTCACCTTGTCATTTATCATAGAAGAGACACCCTCAGGGCTGACTCTGACACCCAGGACCCATGACCATGCACCATAAGGAAAGCACAGACGTCTCTGTGTTCCAGGGCGAGGTGCAGGCCTCTCCACCCCGGGCTCTCTGTCCACAGTAACCGCTGACCCTCCGCTGCACCAGTGTCCTCCCCTTCCTTGTCCTTCATGGCTGGACTCCCTGGAGGAGGAGAGCGCTAAGGCCGAGACGCTGCTGCCGAGTACCCAGAGATGGAGCTACGCCCCTGTGGCCAGGCCAGGGGCTGGGGTGATTCTGAGCCCAGACCCGGAGGCAGCAGGCACGCCTCCCCACTACCTTCCATCATGGTCACGGGGTCCTCCAGCTGGGGCCGCAGGATGTTAGGTCCGAAAACTGTCGCCAAGTTCTGGACACTCATCTTGTTGACGTCTGAGTGGGCCTGGACTTCATCTAGAAACCTGCAGGGTGGCAAGGAGGCAGGTACAGGAGCAACTCCTGGTGCCACCCTCACCCACCTCACCACACCACTCTGAGATGCCCCCATGGTCTCCATGGCTGCTGGGTGCAGAGCTGGCTCTGAGAGCACCCTCAGCACAGGGCACTGGGGGGGAGCAGCCAGTGTG